GAAATTAACTCTGAAAGACAGCTCTCTAAGACATGCAAATCCAAGTTTATTCCCTCCAAAACCTGAAACCAGACCATGACATTGATTGCAGAAGAACTGTAAAGGCTTCTGCTGTTATTGAACAAATTCTTTCCTCTTACAAAGCTTTAATATGTCTCTGAAAACACACCCTTGAATAAGCTATACCCAACACTAACGTGTCTAAAACACAGAATGAAAATTAATACAGGGTGACCAAACTGACCTTTCTCAAGCTGCTCTGAAGCAACATGTATTCCACAGGTATTTTCATCCTTGAGTCTCTGGGCAGAGCTTAATGCAAGGTGCTGCTCAGGTCAGTGGATAAAAATGACTGGATATGCTACAGGGGACAGGGTAAATGGTGTGGGGGAGGGAAGAATATGGGAAGGAAAAAGAGCTGAAAAGAATATATGAGCTAATCATGAACTTCAATTTTGTGCTCAGCACTGTGTTGTGTTATCACTAAATCAGATTAAATTGATCTTACTGCAAAAAGCTTTCTGTATCACAAGAGCCAAGGTCAAGATGAACAACAACTAAGGAATTCCAGTGGAATAAACCCAAGAACAGCTGCATCCAGCTCTTGTAAAGCCTCCTCCTTCTCTTCCCCTCAAACCTTCCTCAGTTAATATAATTAATTGAGGATAAGATGCAACTTTTTAGACAAAACCCAAGCTGGATGATCAATTCAAAATAATCCGAGTACTGCATAGAACCATTAAGGTAAACATTTTCTCTCTAGCTGAAGACTTAATTCCACCATCACATTAATTTTCTGCAGCCCAGGGAATCAGGATTGGTATGTAAAAAGAATAGTGCTGTCTTCCAGACTGAGCAGTGTGATGAAAGAATTAATCTGGAGGTCTGAAACAAGAGGCCTCCATCTCGCATGTTCCAGATGAGAACCACATTTTTCCACTGCTCTCAAAAGGATTTAGCAGGAACAGTTACTTTATCCAGTATCAGGCAACATTTAGGCAAACCTACAAAACTATCTGCAAGTGGTATGGCTGTTTCTTACAGTAGCAGGGGGATGCAGCAGAGTGATAAAGCAAAAAACTCCCTGACAGGATGAACTGACAAGTTCCAGACACGTCAAGCAGAGAGGGGGAACAGAACAAAGATATTTGCTTATCCTCAACTCCCACTTGAACCAGCAGGCAGCGTGAGCCACAAAAGGAAGAAAGTGTTATTCTGCTCTAAATACTTAGGAGGCAAATCTACACATGCAATCCGAGGATGGACTTTCAAGAGGTATCTATAAAGCAGCAGCTGGTGGATGAAAACACTGAATTCAGCTGATGTATTTCTACAGTGCTGGACTAGTTTACAGAAGTTCAGGGCCTAATTATTTAGACCCTCCCAGAGAAAAGCAGCAGCGAAGAAAAATCTGCAAACTTTGGCAGCTGAACAACACATCCTGCACAGTATTCTGATGGTTTTTCATCTTGCTCTGTCTGACTCACACAGCATTCTGGAAACCCAAGGACTCCTGTGCTTCCGGAAAGCTCCCGAGCCCCAGGGCTGTTTCAGAGGCGTGCCTGTATCTAAACCAGCAGTCACCCGAAAGTAACGATTAATCACAGATAAACTGTGCTGCACTCTCACTTGTGCATTCTTCCTTGAAGTTCATTTTATTGAGTTCTGGCTTTGGAAAGGCTACAGAAAACAGAGCTAATCCATGTGCTTTTCCGCTACGCCACACCTAGAGAGAAGGGGCAGCTGGAGGCCAGCCTGCTTCAATTACCTTGTGGTCTGTAACAATCCTCCTTCACAAAACCATTTTAAAGTACTAAAATCCAATCTAACAACTTGTCACTTAAGGCACACACCTAAATTCTGAAAGCCAGGCTGAGATAAATGATCTGTCCTGAATATTTAATGTGCCTTTATCCGCAGAAAGAAACTGCAAATCACGAGACTGAGAAATTCTTTCCTTCTTTTAGAAATATTTCTCACAAAACAAAGGACTTGAGAATAAAACATGTCTGGGTTTTATTCAAGCAGTGGGACTTGGCTGTTGAATAGGATTTGGCAAAGACAAAGGAAACCTAGAAGGGAAGAAGTGATGCCAGCTGTTACCTTGTGGATTTCCTCCCCCTCCCCAGATTCCAGCAGACACTGGGAGGCTGTGCCTTACCCCCTAATCCCCACGGAACATGCTGCCAGTTATCATTTACTGCACATTGGGAAAAGCTTTTTGCAGTGTTCCTGCAGTGGGTTTGCCTCTCTGCTCTGTGATAGCACTGTCAGAATGTACAGGACAGCAACTGGACAACAAATCAGTACAGATGGGGGATAACCCACCAGAGCTACAGCCCATCCCTCTTAAGTCTCTTTGGCCATTACCAAAGCCATAACATTTGCTAAATTAAAAGATCTCTGCTGTGCTGCCAGAAGACATGTTAGCCAAGGGGACTGCAAACGGGTATAAAACCAAAGGGGTTTGCTGGAGGCTACAGGCAGGGGTTGATTTCTTTGCCAGTCACAAGGTATCACATGCACCCACTGTTCCTCGTGGCTGAAGTTGAGTCAAATCTGCTTTCCTGATAAGACATCCTTGTACTACATGAGGAGCCTGGAATACAGTTTGAGTAAAAGCCTCCTCCTGCTGGTGAAGGTTCTCAAGGCAGAAGAGATGGGAAAGGGAGCCAAGCAACGCAAGGAAACCTCCAAATTCCTTTGGGAAAAACTGTTTAAGAGCTCCAGTGGCTTTTGCCACATGGAAAATAAAAGGGAAGTCTTTTGCCTTGGTCTCTACACCCTTACAGAATTTGTGTGAAACACTGTATGGCTTCTGCTGCCTCTCATGCCAGCCCTCAGCTTCCCTCTCTGAAGAGTAACACAGGAGCTTTGGTGTTTGCCATGGCAGAGGGGCAGCACAGCCTCCTGCCCATGGGCCATGGAGCTGAGGAGCACACCACCAAGGGGAGCTGGGGGTGACTGCTTTTAGTGCAGAGGATCAACCAATATTTTCTAAAGTTCACAGAGATAGTGGCCGTGCCTTCACCTACAGCGCTATTGTGAATCAAAGCTCCAGCACAAGATGGGATCAATCAAATGCACACAGAACCTGTGGAGACACCCTTCCCCATGTGATCCTCAGGCATCAAGACACTTTGGCTGTTGTCCAAAGCAAGTGAGGAATAATTGTAAGAAATCAGTGAAGGTACAAACCCCTTTGTGTTTTTAATATCTTTACAGGAACCAAGTTAATACAGTTCCTCTATCATCTTATTCTCCCTCAGAGGGAATGGAGAGAAATTGCATCTGGAAATCCAGGTGGCTGAGCCCTTTAACTCTTCCTCCTGAACCCCCACATAAATAAGCATTCGTATTCAGAATTTTTCTGTTTAAAAAAAACAGAATCATTTGCCTTTTTCTTTAAGCTTGGTACCATGTTTCTTTAATGTTGTTGTGAGATACTGCACCCATCTTTTTCAGCATTTGATTGCCTTAGGTGACCTTACTGAAATGGTCCTATGGTTCAAAGCTCTCAGAAGTGTGGTATTAAGGCATAGAATGTGAGGAGTTTTCTTTCCAGGGAGCAGACTGTATTTGTATTACATTCCTTTAGATGCTGAACTGCAAAATCCCATCCCCTTGGAGCCAAAAGGGGAAAAGACAGTTAAAAATATCCCAGCAGTCATACAATCAGTTGTCTGTACTTTTTTTTTGAATCTTTAAAAAAAAAGGAAAAAAAAAAAAAGGAAAAAATATCCCATAGGTAAAGACAGAACAGAGTTCCAGATATGGGTTCTTGGGAGGGGTTTTCCATTCTTTTTGGCACCTTGTGACTCTAACAGCTGTTGTCCTCCCATTTAAAAATCTGACTTTAAAAGGAGCTGTTTATCAGCTATGTTTTGAGCTGTTACAGTTGTGGTTTGTTTCCTGTGAAAGCTGCTTTAGGATTCCTGCCATCCCATCATGCCCACCCCACATCACTCCAGCTCCTCCCACCGGTTCTTCATTCACTGGTTGCCTGTCCTTGTGGCATTGCAGATGTGATGACTCCAGTCTGGGCTGGGACTGCTCCGCTGGGCTCTTCTATCCGGGCTCTTTTCACTTCAGGTTCACTGGCAGAGGGTGCCGCCGTCTCCTCGGTCCCCGTCTCGCAGACCCGGCTGACTACAACGGGAGTGGATGAGCTGGCCTGGGCTGCAAGGAGCTGCAGTGGGTTTGTAAGAGCTGGGAAGGAGGATGAGAAAGAGATTTAGTGTGATGAACCAGCACAAGTGTTTGCTATTCCAGAAAGCAAGAAAACAAAAGGCCACGGATCAAGTGCGACAGCTGGCACGCAGTCAAGTGTTTTTTAGCCCATTTTGAAAGGCTCGTTCGCCTCGTCTCTCCCTCTCCACTCACAACCCCAGCTTTGTGCAAGTTTACCAAACCAGGAAAAACCCTGTTCATAGAAGAATTTCCTTCTTCCTATTCATTGTCAAACAAGGCATTGCTAGCTAAGCATTGATCTCCAGTAGGGGAGGATCAAGTCCTGGTTAAAAACCAGAGCACACCTCCTCTTTGAGAGGTGGTTCTCTGATCACCCACAATCAGAACTCCTTTGCAAGGTACAACATCTTTGTGCTGGGCCTTCACTTGGGAGGTTTAGGGGCTCCCTTGAGCTCTGCTCACACAGGAAGAACAGACAGGCTGCTGGGAAACTAGATTAGTATCCAAATGTTGAGTGTACTGATGTCTCACTTGTAAAAGGGGCAGGAAAGAGCTTACCCTATACAATGACATGTGTTCCCATCAGATCTGGGATCGGGACATAGGAATTTCTGGCTTTCAGTCTTGTATTTCAATATGAACACAAGATCTCACCCTTCCATTAATAAAAGTGGTGAGAAAAGAGGCGATTTAAGTAGCAACCCTCCGTAAAAATGTCTACAATCCCTAGTTCCAGACAGAGAATGTGCTTACACACTGGCTTTGGCACACAGCACCGCTTGGAAAACAAAACACATGCAGTTTTTGGACTCTGCTTCAATCAGAGAGGCAGCCAAAGGGGACTCAGGAGACAGAACATCCTCTGCCCTTCAGACTGATTTGCAAAGGATGGAATCACAGAACATTAGCGCTGTGTTCACTGCTAAATGCATCAAAAAAGGAGCCCTAGGATAAATAAACAAAGCAAACAGAACAAAGGCCCTCAAAGCCCAGCAACTTCTACCAAGGCATGGGAAGGAGGCTGTAGAGTATTGAGAGGATGAATGGAAAAAAAACCAGGGTAATGATGAGGGCAGTCACCAATTACAGTTCAGTGACTCAGAGAACCTAAACCACGCAGCTGAAGAGAAGTTAACTTTGTACAGATGAGAGTCAAGGAGACTCAGGCTTTGTTTTCTGAACTAGAAAACTCACTGCCACTTACCAAAAGAACTCAGATGCAGCTGGAATACTTCCCAGTTTGACAACAGTTAGAAAAATTTTGGTGAGATTAAAATATCTTAACATAAAAATGTTATATAAAAAGCTGTCTGATTCTATACTAGACAAACCCTACTGCTGGGTAGTAGAAGCTCAGACTACCTGATCTATAAATATCTTAATATCCTACTTGCATAAAAACCATTACCATTTTTTTCATTGCTCCCATAAGATTCTTGCAATTCAAGTGGTGATAACTGTGAAGAGACACGGCAGAAAATTCTGTAGAAACATTGCCACCTTCATGAAAGCCATCCAAATCCCACCAGTGCCCTTCACTTCAAACTCCCCAAAAGCACTAGCCTAGGGCAGCAGAGGTGCTTGGCATCTCATTGAAAAGGGCTGTAAGACACCTGGATATTATCATCCCTAACTGAACAAAACCTGAGGTGCTGAGCAAGCAAGATGAGGAGGCTGCTAAAACGTGGCTCATATGGAATTCAAAAAAAAAAAAATCAGGCTTGACAGATTACTAGAACACATCCTGTGTATACAAAAATCCTACAGTCATTCACCTGGTGGAACATATCTTATTTCTCTCAGGCTCTAAGAGCTTAAGATGGGAAAGTATTTTATTTTCTTAGTACTCTACGGAGTCCAGTTTCGCAAGATCTAAGAAGCATCATGGAAATTTTATCATTTGGCACGCTGCAGGCAAAGGCTGCTGGTCAGAAAGAAAATAAATGAAAACAGGCTCTCCACAAGAATCACTGACACTTTTAACAAGCAACCCTCAAAAGGTAGAGAGTCTAAGTAGTAAGAACTGCATAGCCAAGGGCAAAGGAAGGACACTGGGTTTTCAGTAGCAACGCAGGACTTTTCCACCAGGAAAGGGAGGAGAGGTGGATACGAGGATATCTATCAATGACATTTACAGCCGCAGAAGCTGAAGAACTGGAAAACCTCTGAAGAGGACACATGGAATAACTGGATATATACTAATCAAGAAGAGAAAAGGCTTACAGCTTGACTGCCTGCTGAGCCCAGGGAGCAGCCCAACCCCAAAGGTAGGAGAGCAGAGCCTACCGTAGGCGTTGCCGGCGATGCTGTTGGTGGGCACAGCGTGTTTGCCGTTCTGGGTGACCGCCCGCACCGGCAGCTGGTGCTGCCCGATGGCCACCGGAGCTGCCTGCTGGAGGATCGTGACTGTCTGCCCAGGGACAGCCTGGGCCATCTGACTGGCCACTGTCTGGATGACACGGCTGGCTGTGGGGATGGCGGCAAACGCAATCGTTGGCTTTTCATCCATGCCTGTTGAGGAGCAGAGGAGGCCACAATCACTCACCAGCCTGGCTTAGGAGCTGGCTGTGTTCTCATTAACAGCCTAGCAGTGGTACATACCCCAGGCTTACAGGTGTGACAGTACCTCAGCACCACTGAAGGCCAGGGGTGAGTATTTGGAAACACTAAAATATTCTCTACTGCACATTTATCCTATCAATATTAAGAACAATTTTCTTATAGCACAAGCCACTCAGCAAAAAGGGAAAACTTTAACAAAAAATAAATATTCCAGACTATCAATTTGATATTTTGCTCTAAAAGGGCATCACCTCCCTTACTGGCACATCATAGCTGTGATATGGACAGCAGTCTCTGCAAATTTCAGAGCTTACTTTGTAATTTCAAACAAATTGGCCTGACTTTCAATGCCACACAGCAGGAGAAGGCATTAAGATCTTAAACAATGCCTGGAGCCAAAAGTCTGCAGCAGCTTGCTGTCAGGCCTGAACTGCAGCTTGATTCACGAGGAGGTCTTCCCAAAATTGCAAGCTTTTGCTATGGAAGTATAGGAAGAAACCAGGAGGGAGGAAAAATAAAAAAATAAAAAGTAGGGCTGAGTTCCTGGACAAAGGAAACTGCTTGAGAGCACTCAAGCAACTTTTCTCACTTCCCAGGATAAGTTAGGGGTCAGTTCAGCAGGTATGTAACAGATACAGCATCCTGCTGGGCATGCAGGAAAGCAGAGGAGTACCACTCTTTTCTTCCAGGGGCTCCGTGGGTCTCAAAGCAGGGAGGGCAGGAAGCACAACCTCTTAGTCCTGTAGGAAAACACCTCTCCCATTTTAACATTAGCAGAAAAACAAGAGCTGAGTTAGATGAGACGTGAGCACTGAGCTGAAACCTGCAGGCAAGCTGATGGGAAGTGGGGAGAGAAAAGGCAAGAAAGGCAGAGAGATCGGGAAGGAAAGTGCAGCACTCAGGGAAAGTAGAGATCAGAAAAGGATACAAGTGGGAATAAGAGTGGGACAAGTAGGGGGAAAGAACAAACAACAGCAAGAACTAGTGAATGAAAGAAGGGAGCAGGTGACAGGCAGCTGTAACTGTCAGCACTTCAGGAACATGTATGGGATCCAGACAGGAATTTCTAGAGAATGTAAGTGAAACTCCTGCAAGATAAGCAGTGCTGAACTAAAAATGCCAGTGGTCTTGGTACTGCAGTAGGGGAAGGTCTTTGTTATTTTTTCCCTGCAATGGAAAAAGAACCATTGTCCCACTGCCCACATAAAAGCAGTCAGAGAAACCAGCCTTGCTCATTGTACAACACACATCTACCTTGTAGTACTAAGACCTTCCCAAACGGGGAGCAGACAAGGTGTTGTCTAGATCACAGCAAGAGAACATTTAACTCACTAAATCCCCCAAGGTTGGAATTTCCAACTTAGAAACAAAAGAGGCCTTTGTTGTAACTGGTTTCTGAAGATTGCTTTAATGGGGCACGGCCTGCACTTCCAGAAGCACGTGCTTTCCTCTAGGATTCCAGGTCTGTGAAAAAGAAGGGCTCAATCATTCATTTACAAGGCCATCCTGAAGCAGAGTTTCAGCCTTTCCCAGGCCATCTCTTTTGGCTGGAAAACACTTCCACAGCACGTCCAGCTGATCAATATACAGGCATATTGTCAATACTGGGGATAATTACAAGAGCACGTAGTGACACGACCAGGGGGAATGGCTTCAAACTGAAAGAGAGTAGGTTTAGATTAGATATTAATAGAAATTCTTCCCTGTGAGGGTGGGGAGGCCCTGGCACAGGTTGTCCAGAGAAGCTGTGGATGCTCCATCCCCTGGAAGTGTCCAAGTCCAGGCTAGATAGAGCTCTGAGCAACCTGGCCTAGTGGGAGGTGTCCCTGCTCATGGCAGGGGCTTAGAATGAGATGACCTTTATGGTGCCTTCCAAACCAAATAGTTCTATGATTCTACAATAATAAACAAATTTTAAGCAGTGCATGTTTTTTCAGGCTCCAAAATCTGTTAGTGTTGTTCCCCACAGGAGACAAGGGAGCACAGCTGTCATTGCTCTCTGGTGGAGACAACAAATGGACGAGCTCCCATTTGGTTTATGTTATACCTGGAGAAACATGTTTTTTTAAGGGCTAAGTGCCCAGTGAGTGGAACTGTTCAACCACTCTCCCCCCTCCAAGCCTGCTCAAGACTTATAAGCAGAGTAGCAAGGGGGGTGAAAGGCTACCTCGATGGTCACCAGCTAAGTCCAACACTGCTCCTGCAGCTTCATGAGCTCCTCCTGCTGTGCCCTGGTTTGTGAGGATGTATCCGTTTGCAGAGTTTGCAGAGGAGGTCACAACTCGGACCATGGTAACAGTGGGAGCTTGTTGAACTACGTGAATTGCATGACAGGAAGGCTGCTGAGAAGTCACTATTGATGCTGGCATATACGCCACTGGCTTTGCCACCAGGGTAGATGGTCGGGGAGGAACAGCCATAATCACTGGCTGGGCACTCACTGGAGACCCTGAACAGAAGAGAGAAGCACATGTTAACAGGAGAGGCAGAAAGACCTTCTTTCATTTAATCTATGTAGTTCTAGTCTGCAATACTCAACCCTTCAGCATTGGCAGGAATGGAAAAAGAAAAAAAAAAAATCAAGGCTTCAAAAAATACCGCCTTCAAACTTCTCTTTTCTAACATACAAAAACCTTACTTTTCACCTGAGCACATTTCTGTGAACAAAAACCACAATAAATATAACACATCCCCCTCAAAAGAAGCTTTACTTTATGGGCTTTGCCTTCCAGCTTCACCCTACACTCCAGGCCAGCTACAGCACAGCTGACAAACAGGTACTTACCAGGCTCTGGCCACAGCACCAGAGCTCTGTGTAGCCAAGCTGATCTTATCTAGAGGCTGGTAAATTAGTGAGAGTGAGCTGTGCACTGCCATGGCTACTCTGCTGTCAGTTCTTTACAGCCACCTAGCTCAAGGTTAGCTGAGGTGTTTCCACACATTCCACCTCCTGCCCCCTCATCCAGAGACTTGTAAGAAAAACGGTCTGAAGTGGCACATGTATCATCAGTCTCTCAATGAAGTGAAGAGAGACACCCCTAGATCCTCCTGTAACACACTGCAGAAGCCTCCCTGCTGTGTCCTCAGCATGGCACATGGTGCAGCTGAACAGTCACCCTCTGTGGAACAAGAGCTACTCACCAGGTGCACTCTGGGAATAGCGGTATTCCGGAACCGAGGCTAACTTTGACCCAAAGTCGTGATCATGTGGAATGGGTGAGCCCTCCCGTGACAGGCACTCTGGAGTCTGTAGGCCACTAGAGTGAGGGGACAGCAGGCCAGGGTGAGTAGGGGAGGCAGGAGCACTCCTGAAACACAAAACGCAGTGTTGGCAAGTGTAGATGCATTTTGGCCACAAGACAGCAGCAGAGACCAAGAGTTTTCTCCAGTAGAGGATCCTCTAGCAGAAGGACAGCCTTTCTTCCACACTACCCACTGCAGTCTGCTGGAAGAGCTGAAAGGTGCACAGTAACCTCACAAATGCTCTTGCACCAAATACTGTCATATTATGCCTTGCTGAAGGAAACTGGACCCTTCAGACTACTCTTAACATTTCACTGCTGACAGAAGCCTTAAGTGATTCATGTTCAGATCAGTTTTATAACTTCAGACCGTTCTCAAAGCACCTTGGTCAGTGTTTGAGAGTGACAGGGAGAGGAAGAAAGATGGAATGCAGAGCCCAAGTGTCTGGCCCTGCATACGCTTACAGAGCAGCTGCTCCCCTTCTCCCCATTTGCCACCCTCCCCAACCACTCGGTTCCCACCTCTGGTACCACATAGCCACCAAACACATGAGGAGTTGCACATTCCTCTAATGACAAACCAAATAGAAAAGCTGAAGAGCTTTTTTCTAAACTCCTCCTGCTTACCCCCTATTTTAGTTGACAGAAAAGAGGAGGTGTGGGAGGAATGTTACACGAAACTGCTCCAGCTAGTGCTGAATTGCAAGTCTCATCCTCACAGCTACAGGGCTCAGAGAAGCTGTCATTGCACAAGGCAGAGGAGCTGACTGGAGCAGCTACACAGAACCCCCTGTGGTTGCTGCACTGCTGACAACCGCGACCAACCTGATCTTCACTACAGGAGAGTGTTTTAAATACCACAGAAGTTATTCCCACTATGATCTAATCCACATCTAAACACAGCTTTCCTGAAATCAGAGATTGGCATCTGAAAACACTTACCCCAGCGATAACTGCTTTGAAATGATGCCAAAAACAGATATGTTATTTGATGCATTTTTGCACTTTGGTTCTGCTTTTTTTTTTTTTTTTTGTTAAACACTTAAGAAGTCAGAACAATTTTCAGATTATGCCTCAAGACTACATCACCTCTCAAACTATAAACAGAAGTGAACTTTACTCACTGTACTTTAGGAGAAGTTTTAGTTTGTTTTCTTTATAATGAGTCTGGCACAGAGATTAGAGGAAATTCAAGTTACCTGGAGGAGAGAGGCCCAAAAGGTGTTCGGAAGCAGGACACTCCTCTTTGCCTTCGTTTTCTAAATGCTTGTTCTACTAGTTTGGCTTCAGAGGCAGGGTCAATTCGCCAAAAGGAGCCCTTTCCAGGCTCTTCTTGGGAGCGTGGGACTTTAATAAAGTAGCGGTTCAAGGAGAGGTTGTGCCGAATGGAATTCTGCAGGAAGCAGAGGAACGAGGTGATTATTTTGCCATGAGAAAGCATGTAACAAAGACAAATGAGTTTCACCACACAGCTTGGAAAAATAAAGCTCACGCTGCCAGAATCAGTGTTGAAGACAGAAACAAGTCACCCAGCTCATACAGCTCTGAAATCACCGGAGAAGTGCAAGAGAAAACCTGGGGAAAAGTGTTAGGAGTTCCTGCTAATGAGCCTGAAAGCTGGGTTTGCTTGGTACTAACCATCACTTGAACACATCTGGAGCCAGGCAGCGCAGTGACTTCTCTGTGGAAAGCAAGGAAAGCAGAGCTTTTGCTGAGGCAGGGGGAAATCACTGGAAACCACATCAGAACTCCCTCAGAAGACAGGTTTTATTCTAGGCAAGCGGAAAAGAACTGCCTGAGCCTGTGCTGACTGCTCACCTGCCAAACGATTACCAGGGTGCCCAAACATGCCCTAGAGGACAGTGCATCTCACAGTAATCATAACGTAAGCCAGCCAACATGCCCTCAGACAGCTGGCTCTGGGAGGAATCCATTACCTGTGTGGCACTAGGCTAGCACTGTGCAGCTCTCTAGATGCTGACAGGACTATTCATCCTTTCCAGTGCAACAGCCCACCTCTTGCTGGGTGCAGTGCTGGCTTTTGGGCTTGGGGAGGGTCTCAGCAAAGCCAGGTGTGCACAAACTCATCCCTCTTCCATTTCCAAAACAAAACAAGAGCTTTCATAGCAGGTTTAGACAACCTCCTCACAAGTAAAGCCTTCCAGTGCCACTGGAGGGGAGGGAAAAAAGGCAACTTCACCTTCCCCTGAGATGCAGCTCTCTCAAGCAGGAGGCAGCAACTGGTTTGCAAAGCACAACTCTGCTGAGCAGGTTAGGGCAGGAAGTGAATTCCACAATTAATTAGAACTGCAGGGAGGCAGAAATGTATTTATTCCAACTGTACTCAAAGTGCACAAGCAGTTCTGCTCCTGCCAGCAGACCACAATGAAATCAGCAGCTGCAAGAGCCTTTCCAGCTGCACTGGTGTGTTATATTCGAATGACAACACCCATTTCAGAAGTGTGATGCCAAGAAAAAGTCTGAAAGCAGGTGGAGCTGAGGTTCCTGGAACTTTGAAAGCAGCCCTGAAGTGAACACTGAACCTTGATTTAGCATGTGTTAACTACATTTCAACTCTCCTATGAAGCTGGTCAGGTTTCCTTTAATACCACAAGGAGCACCCAGACTCACAGTTTCCCAAGTTCTCACTCAGATTCAACACTTGCAAATTGTGACTTAGGCAGTGCAGTTGATACACTGGGAAAACAAAACATCTGTAATGTTTTAACGTGCTGTGATTAAAAACTGGAACCTCACTTTTAGGCTGGATATCCTCTGCTTGGACAGATCATGCCAAATAAAGACAAGGTGAAGGATTAAGCAAGTATCTGAGCAGAGCAGTAACTGATAACAAGGATGTAGGAAAATAAAATACAGACAAGAATTAAAGACACATGAGTACAGTAATAAAAGAGAAACACACTACATTGCCCTACAAAGTATTCCAAAAAAACTAATCACCCACAAACAAACTAGTCAGCTTGTGTTAAACAAATTCACTCTGGGAACAGTCAAAGCAGCTCTATTCCCAGTGCCCCAAATCTTTAATAAATGCAATTCAAAGCAGATAAGCCCTGTCAAAGTAGTTTAAAAGCTTGTTAGTGTCAAGAACTCACCTGCCAGCCTTTGTCAGCAGTCCTGTAATATGGATAATGCTTGGTAATGTGGGCATAGATCCCACTTAGTGTTAATTGCCTGTCCTGTGCTGAAGATATAGCCTGCACAATTAGCTGAGCATAAGAATAGGGTGGCTTGGACTCATCCTAAGGAAGAAAAAAAACACCAAATAAACAGAAATTTAGTTACTAACAAAGAATTCTTACACTACAGTGTACCACAACCCAAACTGAAAAAGCACAGATATTAAGAGAGCAGGAGGGGCAGCCAAGAGAGCATCACCCTCTCCCATTTCACTCCTGTTTTATACTGTCACCACCCAATTTAGCACAAGCATTTGTGTGCAAACAGAACTATAGGGCTGAGCCAGATGAAAGTGTCCCCTTCCCCCTTCCCATCAAACACACACTAAAAAGTTCACTTTAATCTCATTCAACTCCCCACTGAACTTCCCACATGTGCTTACATCAGCACAAGGAGCAGGGTCAGGACAAGCAACTGGAATCAAGAGTTAGAGGGTGTAGGATACATTCACTGCTTTCTTGTTCATGAAACCACAGCATTCAAATCTGCCCAGCTACAGCTACACTTCCTCAGAAAGGTTTCACGCAGTGTGCTATCAGCCCTCCTCCCAGCAACAAGTCCAACATGAAACCTGATCCCATCCATCCCTTCCCTTCTCCAGCAGGATTTGTTTCATTCTAGGTACTTTAATTTGTTTGCCAGATCTCATATTCCCAACTCTTCATATTACTCCATCAAGAACAACCCTCCTTGTCTCAAGGGAGAATTAATTCTACAAAAAGAGCCATCTAGTACCGTGCTCCTCCACCCAACCCCAAATCAGGTGGTTTTGAATCCAGACCTTTAACTTTGATCTGAAGATCAGCTCACCAAAATGAAATTTTATCATTCTAATATACATATAACTAAGTTATTTTTTAATCTAAATTCCACTTGCTACTCTCCTCATTTAATGCCTGTCAGGCCTTCATGTTTGTTTTAAAGTCTGACTACAGACTTCTCATGGCGAGGATCTGCTTTCCTCCCCCTGCTTCTGCTTTCTCCAACTGTGTTTTGCAAAATACCATTAATTAAAAGGAGAAAACAAGACTTTTAATTTTATTGCACTTCTTCCTCACGGGTTTTTCATTTATCAAATAAGTAAAAAAAAAAAAAATCTTATTGCTTAATCATTTTAGTGGATTATTGGAATGCATTTCTGGCAGCTAAGCAAGTAGATTCATCAGCTACCACTAATAAAATGCTGGTTTAAAGGCAAGGTCTCGAACCCCTGGAGGATACTGTACACAGCACCCCTATGGCCAGGGTATTCTTAGCCCTCTTTTAACCACAACCAGGACCAGCCATAAAGCACCAGGTTTTAACAAGCCTCCCAAGGAGCACTGCTGGGTAAGTAACGTCTCTGTGAACCTTTGGGCTGTCCCCGCCAGATGCATCTGCCTGCTGCTCCGATGCCGCTTTTGCCGCATACTCTGCTGCCAGCTGCAGATCCGAGGTAATGTTGTGGACAAAACGGTATCCTGAGGATCCAGCACCACGTGGACTGGCCGGGCAAGAGTTGGGAACACTGGGGAGGCACAAAAGGAAATACAGTTCTTTGTTATTTCATTTATTAACAAGGCACACAGTGGTTACTCTCCAAGGTGCAGTAAAGCTCTCAGGTCACGGGGAAGCAGATGCAATGGACGTACTTTTGCCCCTGTGGTTTATTCAAAGCCCAAACAGGTTGAGAAAAAAAACACATTAGAGATAAAACTGGAATTTCTACAAATTCCTGACACTCCCCGCCACACACACTTCCTGCAATCACAAGAGAGCAGTGTTTCAAAGCATTAAACAACTCCTCTGTGTTCAGGAGCACTTAAAACAACGCAGGACTTCAAACAACACACAGCGTATCAGGGATGAATACCTAAATAAACGAATAGCTTGTTATTAGGACTTGTGAATGAACAACACACCACTCTCCTTATTACACAGGTGATATTTAATCAATCCTCCTAACAGATAATAGATATGTTCTTCTACAGTGTCAGACTAAAGTGTCACCCAGAGCAGGTATCAGCCACGATGGTCCTTAACACAACACCTGAGCTTCAGAAGATCACGCCCTGATACCACACAGCTGGAGACAGGGATTTCCTTGATCCACCAGCACAGTCATGCAGCCGACAAAGGGGAGCTGCAATCACTGCGTACACACAGAGGCAGCTCGGTTTTGGCTAGAAAAGACACATCTGGTGCCACCACAAGATGGCATTACAGGAACAGCGACAGAGCAGGACAGGCACGAGAAAGCTGATGAAAACGCTACAAACACAGGAAAGGGGGCTGTAAATTGCAACACCACTCAGGCACACAGAAATGAGTGTTACAAGGCGAGAACTAACTAGAAAGGCTTGTCTAGGGATCACGCATCCTCGATTTGTGATCCCCCCTACCACTGGCAGGGACACCTTCCACTGGATCAGGCTGCTCCAAGCCCTATCCAACCGGGCCTTGAAGGATGGGAGGAGATGGATGAGTTTGGGAAACTGAAATTCCCTTTTTCTGTCTCTCCCCTGCCCTGTGCTGTCCAGAATCGAGGAGTGCAAAGCCAGAACAGCAGGATGCACAGCCACATCCCAGGATTACACATCTTCTAGGTACAGAGAAACAGTAAACAGGAAAGCAAACCAATACACAGAAGATTTACACAGCAAAACAAGCAGTCTAAATGTTATGAAAATACGCAAATTGAAGCCCACAGCTGGGACCCAGAATTCAGTAAAGATGGAATAAACAATCCTCTTACCAGCGAAATGCCCAATAACTGACACAAACAAATACAGTCAACTGACACCCATCAGAGCTCTGGGTTAAATGCTGCACAAGAAAACACAGAACATGCTTCCTCCCTCAAAAAGGTGACTGACTTCCCACACACACACATGTACATATGGGGCTGGAAAGGAAGCAGCGAGGCAGCCCTTGTTTGCTCAGTGGGCAATACCTTGGGTGCATAAGCAATCTGTCAGTGTAAGGAATGACTGTTTCCTACCACAGTCCAGCCTGTAAACTGAGAAGTGCTGCTTCTCCTTGTGGTGTGTCTGCAAATGGCTGCAGTGCTGAGCTCAGCACAACCCAAACTGGTTTCTTTTAAAAAGTGAATTACAGGATGGGGGGGGCCAGGGGAGAGAGAACAGGCAACAGAAACATCCAGGCACAACAAACCCTTGCAATAGGGAACCCAAGCTCACCCTTCTCCCATCAACAACAAGCCTTGCAAAGTGCTGCACAGCACCTGGTACCCCTTTCAGTGCCCACCAACAGCCCTTGGCACTGCTGGGTGATGCTGTTCAGGAGTGCAGCAGGAGGTAAAGCTTTCAGGAGGTGCAAGGTATATGAAGTTGATGAGCCCATACTTATAGATCTCCCTTTGCCAGAGATAAAGGCGTTTCTTACCCAGCCTTTCAAAGAGCAGAGACCTGTTTGTGCAGGAAAATGAATCAAAGTTTGCTACTCCAAGCTAAACCACAGAAGACACTCTTGATGCCTTCGTACTCACATGAGGAGCTGGTGTGAATTTAATTATTCCACTGTCATTTTTCAATAGCTTCTCCACATACACACTTCTTATAATGTGCAGATAATTACAAATGAAAGCCATTTTCATACATGAAACAATGACAAACCAAAAACACAGCAATTCTTTTTATCTTTGCGTTTGGCACCCGAGCAATTATTGTAACACACAGACTGGGAATGGAATAGGATGAAACAAGAGTTTTCTGATTTTGTTCTTTGGCTGCAGAAATACACAAACATCAAACCACAGAAACAGCAGCCAAAACTTAGGACAAAGATATGGAAGAGAGAAAGTTCTCCACTAAATCCGTGCTCTGCACAGAGTTGTGTTTCTTGCCTTTTTTTTTATTTTATTTTATTTTTAATTAATAAATATATAAAACTAGATACAAGAATTTATTCCTTTCTTCGAGATCAGCAGAGCAAGTCCAGTTTTTGCTATTCAAACTCTGGTTTCTGGGGCTCATGAATTTTAAGTGTGATCTCTTGCTTAAAAACCAAGCAAGCAAAAAAACCAAAGGGAGAAACCCATCCCCTGCAGGGTTTCCCTTGAGTGTTGACAAAGCCCCTCCAACCTGCAGTGTTAAATTCTAGAAAATCCAGCCTCTCCCAGTACATAGTCCCTGAAGAACATCAAAAGCAGCTGCCCCTTAGGACAGCCACAGCAGTGCCAAAGACTTGGAAGATGTAGTAATCTTTTACCAGAATGGAGTCCTTTTGTCCAGGTAGATCTGCTTCCCTTCAGCCTGGATCAATGATCAAATCAAGAGAGACACAAAACCCACCAACTTTCAGCCACTCCATGCACAGACAGGACATGCTGCTGAGTGCTCAAGCTCTCAGTCAGTCATCAGAGAGCTCTTCAGAGGGAAGGCAGAAAGAGCCGACTACTGGAAAAAACAAAGAGACACAATCTGTTGCCCTCCCAACATGGGACAGGAGGAGTGAAGAAACAGTTTTACTAAAAATACCCCTCTGAGGGTTAAGTTAAAATTAAACATTAGTGCAGTCAAAAGAAAACAAGCAAACACAATGCAGTGACATCAGTTTCCTGGAGTTCCTGGAATTCTCCTCACCACCCAGAGCCGGGGGCTGGCTGGGGATGCTTGCATGCACTCACACCCCCTTTAAAAATATTATGAAACAAAGAGCTTTCCCTACAACCACCTGTTTGTGCTATAAAACAAAAATCAAGTGCAAGGACAGTGATTATGATTTGTTGGTATTAATACTGCACCAATACTCAACCATAACTTGATCCATGTTGATACTATAACCTTCGACTGAGAAAAGCACAGCTAGGTCTACAGTTTCACCCTGCTCTGACATCCTAACTTACTGCTGTGATCCATGCTTGCTGTCCATGCTGGCAATCTTAGTTTACAGCAATCCAAGCTAATTCGGGTTAAACTTGTCTGTTATGGAAGGGAGTGTTTTGGAGAGGGAACAAGCGTTTTATAGCACTGAAAGACACACAGGGCACGTAAGTAAACCAGCTGCAGTAACCCACAGTCTTAATCCCATGATACCATGGTTAATGCCCCAAGTGCCAGAAATCTTTGATATCCACTGAAGGGTTCAGCATCCGAACCTGGAACATTGACTGCAGGCGGCCACTGAGCCACACTTCCCTAAATACCACACTGAGACTCAGCTTCAGAATGAGACTGCAACCACGTGCTGAATCACACTGGTCCTCTGCAGCATGTTTTCCATTTCAGACTTAACCCTCAGCAGGAAGGCCAGAGACATGAGGGCAGTGTCTGCTGTACATTCACCCCTGGAACCGGCAGACGGCCCCTCAAACACGGGGCTTGAACGTTCTAAATCTTTGTAGCACCACGACTTTCAACTCCTGCCAACCAGAACCCAGCCTGTAAGTTCACAGCAACAATTAACTAAGCACGAGCTCCTGGAGAGTGTGTACCTGGAGAGTGCTGCATTTCTGCTGGAATGTTCAAAATCAGGTTGCTTCAAGGAAAGAATCAGTTGCAAAAATAGGATGTAGCACCGTGTGCATGGTATATTCACACCAGGACACTGTTTTGCTTCTCTACTCTCATTTAGGAAAAAAAAAAAAAAAGGATAAAGCAGATCCAGAGAAGGTACTGACAGGGATAATTAAGATGATCAGAGATACGGAATGGATTTCATACAGGAAAAAGCCAGTTTAAGACAGAAGCTGAGGTGCAAGGTGAAAGAGCCTACAAAAATAAAGCCAAGGGGAGGTGTTCAGCTTCTGGCCTCTTGCAACAGAAGAGCGGGTGAGCACAAAAAGAAACTAAGCAGCCCTTCCAAAACAAAAGAAAGTGCTTCTGTGTCTGCAGCTGCATGTGGAATGACATGCTGTAAGGCAGGGCTGATGATAAAAGTCTACATGAATTGAAAAGGCCAGGATACAAATTCTTGGGGAAAGGAGGAAGACAAGGAAGCCATCAGGGGCTTTCTAAGACAGATGGTCAGGAAGTCCCTGCTCCAAGACAGTCTCTGCTCCAAGAAAATGGAGGCAAACTGCACCTAAGTCAGCATTACTCTGTTTTCTGTGCTCTTATATGACCCCCAAGATACCCATGTCAGAGGCAGAACACTGGGCTACAGGGATCTGTTCCCTGAGCACACTGAGATTCCCATGTAAAAATCTCCACGCTCTCTCAATACTATGCACATTTTACAGACCGGGGGTAATAAAAATAAAAACGAAGCAACAAGTGCTTAAATGATTTATTTATGGTCACATTACAAGTCTGTGAACAATCTGGAAACTGAAGCACTCCCAAACCTCAGTGCCAATTTCCCCAGAAGGAGAGGCAGTACTAGAATGCAGGAGAGTTGCCTTATTACTCAATTTCATTCTTTTCTACAATAAAGGTGTCTGTAGGGATCAAGCTACAGAGGCTTCGTTTCAGCCAGGTGTATGGAAAAAAAGCACCTATGGCAAAGAGGAAAGATTACCTGGGATCCCACACAAAATTGTACACCAGACTGGGAATCTGCATTGCT